CTGATCGGTCTTCAACTGACAACCTTCTCTCATCTGCTGGAGTGTTTACCACTGAGCCAGGTTCATACAGTGTCACGGTAACAAATGTAAACCTCTTACCGATTATAATGAAGGTCCATGCAAACAGGACAACACACTTGAATTCTATCGACTTGGACGGCAGCATGTTTTCGTTGCCTGCAATGCAACATGAAGCAGAAAGGAAGGGCACGAGCTGTTGCTAAACTTTATGTAGTTTATCAGTCATTGGAGGTAGATAACTGCAACATCCCAGACGGGAAGTAGAAAGGAAATCACGTCAGGCAGGAAATATGACGAGATATCTCTACACATTTTCGGTTACAGAAAGCTATTCAGCCATTGTAGTTTCAGCCTCAGAAAAATAACAGTTTCAGGCACAGAAGATGGACACAGAACCCATTGCTTATGGGCTGCTTCCGGTTTAAATAACCATTTCAGTCCCACTTACCTGCGCTTTCTCCATACTCCTGGAGATACTAACACTTTCTTGTAATATACCGTCTGATCACGTCTCTGAGACGTCTCAAAGAGATTCACCCAATACACTGTAAAGTGAGTTGACTGTATATGTTGCGGGGAAAACGCGGCAGACAATTACGCACAGCAGTGTCCCGCAAACAGCCATGCCTTGAGTGACTAGTATTTTTTGGAAGGGACTAAAATGTACGAAGCTTGACCACTCTTCTCTATGATATAATCAGGTCAATTTTCAAATGCTAGGCTTTGGGTTAACAGAAAATAGCGTGAATTTCAACTATTTCCAGCATGAGGCCTGTTAAGGTGTTCGTATTATATCCTTTTGAAAGCTAATATGGATTCTACTAAAAGCATTGCATCCCAAAACGCAATGCATATCTACTGTAGTCCTGTATCTCAGTGGTTAGAGTGGTTGACGGTATATTACAAGTCAAACAAGAGGAACCGGGTTTGATTGCCAGCAGGGCGAGAGGTTGAGCAAGTACCATTTCGCCACACACGCCTCTGTTTAACTAACGTTAAGTCGGAACCTGGTGGGTAATCGAATGCCATATTGCTTTTCCAGGGTAATAATCCCTCCAAAAATAATAAATGNAAAAAAATATAATGATTACTCAATCCATGACTGTTTCTGGGACACTGATGTGAGCAATTTCGCACGCTGAATATACTATAAATTCACTTTACAATATATTTTGTGAAGCGCTTTGAGACGTCTTAATATCAATCAGGAATATGAGCAGTTGATCTATGCTTCTCTCTTGGTATAATGGATTGTTATGTGTGACAATCAGTTGTGCTGTTAATGTGCTGTTGTCTTTGTGTATCTGTTTCGTCGCCCTTTCCACAGGAAAAGGCTGCTGCGGCCCAGAGAGACAGATCCACAAACCGTCAGTTTTTGTACGAGTCTCTGACTGGTTCCCATCACTGTGTGGTTGAGAGCACAGTAATACACAGCGCTGTCGAACAGCTCCATCAGGGAGATGGTTAAAGTGGTGAACTTTGTCGAGGTCTGAAGTTCAACAGAGAACCGCTTTTTAGCAAAGTCTGCTTTATCAGTGCCGCCATCAGAAACCTTCCAAAGTATATACTCAGGGTGTGTTTCTTGTGCTCGATACCAGTATAAATAGTAGCCGCTGAGAGAAGTATCATAATGATATTCCATGGTCACATTTCCTGCTTCTTTCCCAGTCACGGAAGGCAGTGACCTGAAAGGCCAGAACGTGGAGTCTTGTAACTCAGTGATTATAGCGTTCACCTCGTTAGCGAAAGGATCCGGGTTCGATTCCCGGACTGGACATGGTTAAACTTAGGCAAGTTTGCTTATTCCACACAGACACACACACACGCTTCTGCTTTCCCAGCATTACGTAGGAACCAGCTTGTCCGTCGATTGGCGGATCGCTTTTCCGGGGATAATAATCCATTCACCATAATGGCAATAATAATGTGATCCGTCAATCCATAATTATTTGAGGGACATCCACCAGATACATAGTCATTACCCTTTACTGTGAACCGCTTTGAGACTGTTATCCACTGAAAAAGGTTAAGAAATGATTGTTATTTGAAAATTTTTATTACAGTATATGATCAAAGGCTAATGAAGTCACCAGAGTCCGACATATTAACAGAGACGAGTGAATGGTGTAAGCAAATATGCCTATGTTTCTGCTATATCCTGTCCGGGAATGGAACCCACATACTATCGCGTACGAGTCGAAGGCACTAAACACTGAGCTACAGGTCTCCCTCCAATAATTGTTGCTGAAATGGAGCTGACAATCAGCAGCAACACTGAATTATCTCAACACGGCCTCACCTGACTTAAAGGTTCCCAGCACAAGACAGACAGCAAAGAGCCTCATTGCTGCTCTTCCGTCTGTGTGGTTGTTTCTGTGCCATCAGTTTGATGATAACCCGCCGTGACTGTCCTCATTGGCGGAGCCACAGTCTCACGTCAACTCATTGGCATCTCAGCCGCGTTTCAATACTGCAACCAATTGCTTTTATACAGCGGCTTTCACCAGTGACTGGGGACAGGGAATCCTCCAAGTCAACACTTGTTAACCGGAAAATCCAAACCCTAACGCGAATAGTGGTCCTCGCAGGACAAACAGCGGGCAAGCTTTCCAGGTAGCAGTATCAATGGCAAGCTTTATGGTTTTAGCTGAATAGACTGCAGCGGATATCCCAACGCAAAATCGGATTTTCCCCAAATGTTGGCTCTTCCCAAACTGTCGTTAATACTCTACAGAATTAGATAAACTGTTGTATTCCATTCCAATAACCTATCTCTGTGACTTGTATGTTTAGATGGGTGCATGGGAATCTCAGCTTGTTTTCCATAGTAATAAGCATGTTGAATGGTTTCCACATTTGCTGACCCAGAAAATATCACAGACGGAAGCTGAAACAGCAGTATTTATTGGATCACTAGTACGTCCAGACGATGACAAACCTGTATTGTATTGTATTGACAAGTATTGTACTTGTTTCTCAAGTAGTATTGATACAAAATACCAACTGTATCTAACAATGCACCAATAATTCTTCAGAAATTGGTATTTACGGCAGCCATTGCTATTGTTTCTTCTCATAACAGAAGACATTAGATTTCTCTTTTCGAATAACTGCATGGTAACTTTAGCGTTCAGTTCAACAGATAGACCGGACCTGAGTATAATAATAATAGTATTATGGGTAATAATCCTTGCATTTGATATGACGCCTTATGAGAAACTCGACACGACTCAGCGTGTTTGGTACTCTAAAGCGAGAAGTTCGGAGAAGTTGGTAGGCGCAAGAGCATCAAATGATTGATAACGGAGTGTCAGAATCGTGAAATCAATCCATTCTGCAAACATGGAGCCGGAGGAACAGCGTATTGACTGGGCTGATGAGCGACCGAGTCACTTGTTTATGAGAACACAGTTAGAGAGATCTGAACTAATTAGATGTGATGGGAGGCGGAGCTCAAGTGATTCGCATGGAATCGATTGGAAAATCGCTGTGGGAGTTGACAAACGTTAAATTGGTTTTATAATCATAGACGTGGCATCTGGGCTATTGACTTTTATCACAAGAGTAAGAAAGCTGTACAAGTTAGTGATTTCTCACCGAATATTTTACCTGGTGACAATATCCTTGATTATTAGCCAAAGGTGTCTTTCGTAACAAGGCAGAGAGAACGATACAGGTTAATAATTATCTGATTAGAACTTGTTGTTTTCGAACTTGCAACACTTTTACGATGTGTTTTATGGCTTACTGGAAACAATTTGTGTTCAGTTGTATCACCTGTTGTGTTAGTGGTTCTCAGCTACGTTCCTGTTGTATGATGCATCAACAATAGGGCAAGGGGCTCTGATGACCTGCAGTGGTTATGCCATACGTGTCCAGCTCCTCGCAGAACCCGATTAAATTTCTCGCTCACTGGACAAATGCATATTGAAAGACAAACTACTTGTGACAGTCGCCAGGGAGGAAACAAAGTGAACTGATTAAAGATCAGCTTAAACTAACTGGGAGAAAATTGACTGAAAGTTCAATATTAATTTTGGTGAGGGAATGGTGACGTTATGCTAGACGAGAGGAGGAGTGGGGGAGGGTTGTAAGAACTCAGCACACAGAGAGGTAGAAATAGTGGTGGATGTGTGGTGGAGGGTGGGGAACAGGTAGAAAGCCAATTGAAGGTTGGAACTACGTTTGTGACACACAAGTCACCATTTTCTGAAATATCAGTATGGATCATGGAGTATGGCGGAAGGAGGTGGGACTGTTTCGGGAGGGGTGAAGGGAGACTGTGCGGGGAGCATTGTTTGTGTGGGGACGGTAGTCTGTGTGGAAAGGGGGGAGGGGAGATTGCGTGTGAGTGGAGGTTGTGTTGTGTGCCGGGAGGTTGTGTCGGTGTAAGAGATCGTGCGGAGATTTGGTAGATTGTGCCGGAGGTGAGATTGTCTGTGGAGCGCGAAGATCGAGTGGGGAGGGGAGATTGTGCAGTGAAAGGAGTTTGTGTGGTAAGGGGAGAGATTATGTATGAAGGGGATATTGTTTGGGAAGGGGAGATCGTGCGTGGAGGGGAACTTGTATGGGGGAGTGGAGAGAACTTCGATCGATGTTGCAAATGTGGAAATATGGAGATATTGTAAACGGTTCGCTTAATGGCAAGTTGTTAATCAGGAGAATAAACAGCAGGACACTTTCAGAAACAGAATGTCCAGGTGTTCCGGAGAGTGATTGGGATAATTGATCTGACTATCTATTCCTGGTTCCACAGTTACTGTGTTTCTTATCTTTTCCCTCTGTCTCCACGCCCACACTGGAACTTTTATTACGATGCACTTTACTCCATTTCCATATCAATATTTTCTACGTCCAGTTCTGGGCATTACTCACAACACTGGCTCCAAACGAGAAGCTGATTGCAGTAGAATGAAGTGAACAGGGTGGGACACACACAGCACAGATACACTGAGACTGAATAAGTTTGGACCGGAAATTCTTGAGAGTGAACATGGCTTTTAGACATCAGGTTCAGCGTCTGACCGAGGAGCTAAACTGTCCTATTTGTTTGGATATTTTTACTGATCCTGTTAGCCTGGAATGTGGCCACAATTACTGCCGCTTCTGTATCACCCTGTGCTGGGAAAAACACGCGGCACAACTCTGTCCGGAATGCCGCCAGCTTATTGCCAACAAGAACCTCAAGGTTAATCGGACCCTGGTCAAAATGGTGGAGAAAGCTCGTGAATTCAGCCTGATCTCGACACACACGGGAATTAAACATCAGTGTGAGAAACACCGGGAGGAAATGAAGGTTTTCTGCCAAACAGACAAGAAATTGCTGTGTTTAATTTGCAGAGATGCGCGAGAACACAGAGGTCACAACTTCCTGCCGTTTGATGAAGCAGCTGAAATCTGCAAGGTAACCATACACTCACGAGAGATTCTTTCCGTTCCACTTTATATTTTCGCGTTCAAGCACTTATAATTTGCCTGTTTATTCCAGGAACAAGTGAAATCTTCCTTAGCTTCTCTCACACAAATGAAGGAAAATGTGCTACGCGCTGAAGCCAAACAGAGAGAAAAGATTTCTCAAGTTAAGGTAAGTTGTGTCGGGGCTGATGTCTGGGCATCCGTGTGTCTCTGTTTACTCTGTGTGCACGGTGTGATGACTCAGTTTGTCTCAGCTTCCTGTGTGTACACGATGTAATGTCTCAGTGTGTGTCTTTTATTGCGTGTACAACGAGTGATGTCTCATTCTCTCTCTTTATTGCATGTTCACGGTATGATATCTATGTTTCTGCTTACCGTGTGTACACGGTGTGATGGCTTAGTGTGTCTCTGTTTGCACTATGCACAACGTGTATTCTCTTTGTTTTATCTGTTTACTTTGTATACAAGTTGTAATGACACAGTCAGTCGAGGTTTGTTCTATGTACACGGTGTGATGCTGCCTTTTGTTTCTCTTTAATGTTTGTAATCGTTATGATGTCTAAGTTTGTCCCCGTTTACCGTGTGTGCATGATATGATGCCTCAATGTGCCTCTATTTACTCTGTGTACACGGTGTGATGTCTCAGTGAGTTTCCCTTTACACAGTGTAAACGGTGTGATGCCGCAGTGTGTTTCTCTATCCTGTGTGTACAGGGTGAGATGCCAGTGTCACTTTCAGGGTTTTCCGGTCCAAACGTATTCAGTTTCAGTTTATCTAGGCTGTGTGTGTCGCACCCTGTGACAGAGTTCACTTCATTGTACTGCACACAGCTTCAGGTTTGGAGCTTGTGTTGTGAGTAATGCCCAGTGCCAAATGCAAGGATTATTATTATTATAGTGTGTTTCCGTTTACTCTTTGTGAACGGTTTGATGGCTCAGTATCTCTGTTTACTGTGTCTACAGGTGTGGTGTCTGAGTTTGTCTCGCTTTACCGTTTGCTTACTTTCTCTGTTAATTGTCTCTGTTTTCCTTCCGTACATGTTTGGATATTTGACATTTTGCAGGAACAGGTGAATAGTTTGCAGACCCACGTCACGGCTGAGTTTGCTAAAATGCACCAGAGTCTGACTGACAGAGAGCAGCGAGTGATGCGAGATCTCAGACAGCTAGAGGACGAGATTTTACAACGTATGGAGTCAAATCTGCGAGAGATTCAGTGCAAACTAGATTCTGTGCAACAAGAAGTCAAAGAGTTACAGACACACATCGAGAAAGACTCTCTCACCTTCCTGCTGGTAAGAGAATATTTCATAATTGAGTTCAGTGACAGTTACATACAGTCTGGGGAAGACAATCATATTCTGACAGTTACAAAGTTAAACGATCGATTACTTGATATGTTCTGTTGTTTGTTTTTAAGCCCGTCGCACTGTGAATCTAATCATTGTTTGGGTCAGTCCTATGTATTATGCATTCGGAAACCCATCACCGCGGTTAACTTTATACAAACCGCAATGAGAATTCCACCTCCACTGGGAAATGCCAGAGGTAAATGGTTGGAGCGTAATGTGCTCCCTCTGCTCGAAGACACCAAACCTGTTTATCTGATTCTGCAAAGTTTTAAGTCCAGGTTGGACACACCAATGCTTATCAGTTTGTAATGGTCTAATTTCTGGAGTCTAACCAGCTAAACCACACAGATTGGCAATTATATCACTGTTTGTGAAGCCTTCCCGCAGCTTGGGTATCTTGGCAAACCCAGCAGTTAATCAGGTCTTTGGCTGCAGCTTTAACAGGTGCTTAAGGGAAGGATTCCCTCCCCGCAATGATAGGTCGGCCCTTCCTGCTCCTACAGATGAGCCGGAGCTGTCATCAGCAGTGAGTGGCCAGGGATTCCACATTCAATTGCCTGACCTGATACGCTGAAACCAGTTCAGTTTTGAGGAGACCCTAACTCCCGACGTACGCCCCTTCCCCCCCGCACCACTCCCACCTACACCGCGCCCACACGCACACCAAAACAGGAAGTAATCGGGGTTTTCTTGGTGGTGATCTCGCCCCACTGTTGTTGCTGCGTGTATGAACTTTGGATCCTTTGGATCCAAAACGGAATGAGAAAAGTTGCTGTAATTATGGCAGCAAGCTGTTTGATGTCGAATTCTACTGTGTGTGACTGAGTTTCCAATGTGGTTTCTCGGCGTGCTCTGACATCTGTCTCTGTTTCATTTCATTAGGAGGAAACTGCTGGCCACACAAGGTATGAAATTATCTTTGCAAATATCCCACAATGGAACCCACAAATCAACCACGGAATGTTATTTAATTTCGTAATGTGATCAACTCTTACTTCAGGTTCAGTAACGAAGGTTATAGTGTGTCAGTGTGTGAGGTGGAGCTGCCTGTGGCCATGTACAAGTGGCCTACGAGGAATACAGTTTGGAGACGCATGATAGAGAGTATCAGCCCAGGTAAATGTCATCCATTCACATCCTGAAGCAATGTTAATAGCAGTATATTCATTTAGTTTCGAATGCATACATCCTTACACCTTCACACACACGCGCATACACACTCACCTACACGCCTCATTCAAACATCACACAAACATTACTGACACACACACATGTCAAAGCACAAAATCTCACCGATAGCACACAGCCTCACACACCAATAACGATCGAAACACACCACTTACACCCACCACATACACGCCCACGAAGTACAAGTCTTATGCACGCCCGCAACACACCCACCGCTCACACAAACAGCTCTCGCCCAAACATAAACCCCTCACAGACAAATCACACACATAGCCCTCGCTCACTAACCCGACACATAACCAAAACACACACCTCACACAAACACAACCCACATATATTTCACACATCCTCACAGAATGAGTCACATACATTCCTCAAACAAAGTTTCACACACACTCTCACTCACACTCCTCATTCACACTCGCACACATAAACTCTCACACACACTGTCATCGACGCTTCTCACAATTAATCTTCACACACTCACACATTATCACACGTACCTTACCGCACACACACACTTGCACACACCCTCACACACACAGTCACCTCACAAACACACGTCACACATCCCAGCCACACCTTCATATTCAACCATCAAACAAACTCCGTAATACTCCTGGAAGATACAGCCGGCGACACATTGAGATTTGTTGTGTTCACAAGTATAGATGTCTTCACACCATATAACTCCCAGACTTCCTCTCACACCACTTTGTGTGATTTTCTCTCTCAGCCCCGGCCTCTCTGACTCTGGATCCTGACACAGCCCATCCCAAGCTCATCCTGTCTGAGAAGCTGACCAGTGTGAGACAAGGAGACAAACAGCAGCAGGTCCCTTACTCCCCGAAAAGGTTTGATAGCGTAGTCTGCGTACTGGGGTCTGAGGGTTTCAATTCAGGGAGACACCACTGGGAAGTGCAGGTGACAAACAAGACAAAGTGGGATGTGGGATTGGCCAGCGAGTCTGTCAGCAGGAAAGGTTCAATCTCACTGTCACCAAACGACGGATACTGGGCTGTGACACTAAGAAACGGGGATGTATATGAAGCACGTACCTCATCTCATACCCGCCTGCTCCTGAGAGAGAGACCAGAGAAGCTGGGAGTTTACTTGGATTATAAGGGGGGACAGGTGACGTTTTACAACGCTGATAACATGTCTCATCTCCACACTTTCACCCATACTTTCACTGAGAAAGTTTATCCTTACTTCAGTCACTGTAATAATGACAACGGGAAAAATTCTGAGCCTCTGAGGATCTGCAGAATAACAGTTTAACGAGGAGCAAACCCTCAGCCATGACTTATGTTTGGCCGTCAAAGTCAACAACTGGAAGCTTTTATCATTTGTGTCTTTATACAATAAATCTTGTAGTTTATATTATACCTTTTGCATCGGGCCCACGGCTCAAGTCTTTCTCGGGATCAACCGTAAAGTGATGGTTGCATATGGGAGCGAATATGGAACCAATTTATACTGAACAACCTGTACATCAATCACGTTTCACACAATAAACATCAGTTTCGACTGTTCAGCTCCTGATATCTACAATAATAACCCTTGCAATTCTCATAGAAGATGATCACTTCTTCTGAAATTCTCAAACGACCTCACAGCATGTAATACAAACTAATTAATCTTTTGATTTGTGGATAAAATGCAGCAGCCGATTGAACGAAGTAGTGTCCCACTTAAATTAGTGTAATAACTATCGCATTTTTTCAAAGGAATTATTACCGCAGAATTGCGATCCAATTGTCGACTGAAAATCTGTTTACAATTTAACGATAATAAAAAGAATCGTATGGAGTAAGAAAACATGCCTAATGTTTAGCCCAGCCCATGTATCAAGCTTACGTCCTCTCGGTTGCGAGGCAAATGCTCTGTCCATTTAAGTACAGTACTCAGCATGTCTTTCATCTGCTGTTAATAAAACTGGGTAAAAACACAAAATGAAGCCTTTGACACCATCCGAGCATTTACTTTCAATGCGTGCTCTAAAAATGATGCTACTGTACCCCAATGAACATGATCATGTTTGATAATTTGGAGGGGCGCGATGTGGCTAAGAATGGGAATGGGCTTGGTGGGTTGAGGATGGGTAGGGTATGCGTGTGGGTTTCAGTGAGGATCAGGAGGCGCTGGGAGTGGTTGAGGACGGATAGTGGCCGGACGTTGATGAGAATGGCGAGGAGCTGGGTGTTGGTGAAATGAGGAGGGGTTGTTTGGTGAGGAGGTGTTGTGGCTGGGTGTAATTGAGGGTGGGGAGCGGCTAGTTGTCGGTGAAGTATGAGAGGGGCTGCGTTTTGGATATGATGAGGTGGGACTCAGTGTCGGTGGGAATGGCTGCCACAATTCACCCACAAAATACTCCAATTACAGCATATTCTGTGAAGCGCTTCTTGGTGCGAATTGCTCCACAAACGCTGGTTAGCACCATTTGAATAAGATCGAATCTCTCATGATTTGGGGGTGTGGGGCAGGTTTGGGCGTGTGGGCCATCTGTACGTCTAGCATATGCAGAAATTCATGACCATGCTTTAGAATATCGAAACCGAACTGAAAAATTTATTTATCCCACAAAGGAATAATATCATAACATCACAATAGTAATAAAAATAACTATTGCATTTCCTACAATGCCTTTGGAGTCATATATCACAATGGTAAGAGCACTTGCATCGCAAGCCGGAGACCTGGATTCAATTCCCCCCAAGAGCGAATCGTTGGGAAATTTTCCGTACGGCACATTACTCTGTTTAACTAGCAGGATGTAGGAATTCGTCTGTTAATTAATTGGCGGATCGCTTTATCGGATTTAAGAATTGATCAAAAAAAACTAAAATTTTCTCACTCAGTGAAAGAATGTTTGTGGAACACTGCTGTGTCCAATTGACTGCTGTGTTTCACTCACATAACTACTCTATTCACTTTACAGTATATTCCGTGAAGAGTTTTATGTAGTCATAAAAACGTGAAAAGGCGCTTTTCCATATACAAGGATTATTATTATTACTATGTCTTCGAGACATCTTAAAGAGCTTCAAAAATTTACAGAAAAGTTGATTTTCCATACTAATTTTAACAAGGTAATAAGCGAAGAGTGATTGCAGTACCTTTTCGCCATCGAGTGGCCAATATGCTACAGTTCGGCATTGCTTCATGTTTGGTGCAGAATTTGAATAAAAGCAATAATTGAAATAACAATTTGTCGTGGTTTCCATTGGCTTATATTACCTGAGGCTCATAGTACAGTAACTCACCCCGCTGTCAGTCACTGTGACGGCACAGATAGTGAAGTCCCAAATTCCACACACTTCGAAGCAATAATAATCCTTTCATTTGATATAGCGCCTAATTACTTCTTCGAAATCAAAGCAAATCATAGAATATACTGTAAAGCGAAATTAATATTATATATTTTGGCCGAAAGACGACAGCCCATTGAGCAGAGCAGTCTCCCACAAAAAGTCTTGGATTAAGTGACCATTTTTTAAAATCGATTCTCAGATGTGACAAAAACGTATATGTTTTGTCATAAAAAAAATATGTTTTTATTATATTTGGAAACCGATTCAAATGAACCGCAACCTAAACGGTAACAACTAACTTGTTCATCAATTTCTGTCTGCATTCATTGCGAGTTAATGATGCGAATGATTATAAGATATCGATAATATAAAAGCTGACAAGTTTATGGGAGGTGTGTGAGATTTCCTCGGTATCTAGCTACATACATATCTGTTCCCCTTATTGCCTCAAGGCCTTACCAAAGTTTCCCACACATTTCAGCAGACGGTCCTACCTATGTACAAAGTGAAGTCAGTTTTTGTACGAGACTTGCAGTGCAGTCTATTACTGTGGTGAGACTAAAGGCACAGTAATACATAGCACTGCCAGACACCACCAGCTCAGAATTGGATAAAATGGTGGAAGAACCGGATTTCTGTAGTTGAGCAGAGAAACGTTTCCCAAATCCTATACGTTTGACATCACTTTCACTCCATGATTCGCTCTGAACTATAAACTCCGGCTGTGTGCTTGGGTAATGTTGGTATCAGTAGAGAGAGTAATATCTTCCAGTCGTGGAATAGGCACACTGTAAAATCACAGATTCTCTTTCGTCCTTAGCCATTGTGGCAGCTTTCTGATTAACGGAGTCTCCATCACAGTGTTCTTTAATAAACATGGAAAATGGACGGCAATGTATTATTTTATTTTCGAATCAATTATTTTTCCGTCGCTATGGGACTTCCTGCCGACGGCAAACGCCCTACACATACGTCATTTGTAAATATTAAAATAATAATAATAATCAATATTTTGTGTAGTACATTACCACGTCTTTGAGACATATCAAAGCGCCACAGAAGATAATGTGAAGCCAATTGCTCTGAATGTTCTTGGACGACGCACGGAAGCCAATTGCTCACAGCAGTCTAACGCAAACAGTCAATAACAAAAGCAACAAGAATATTCCATTCATGGAGCACCTTCCACGACGGGAGGACGTCCCAAAGCGATGGACAGTTGGATCAGGAACCGATCAGTGGGGAAATGGTCAGGGTGAGGGGAGGGAAGGGAGGGAGCGAGGAGGGGGGAAATGGTCAGGGTGATGGAAGCGAAGGGCGTGGGCTAGGAGTGGACAGAGAATCGAGAGGGGAGCTGAAGGCACGGTCAAGGAGAAAGGTCTTGAGACCGGCCTTGAAGGAGGAAAGGGAGGAAGCAAGGCGAAGGCACTGGGGGATAGTGTTCCAGAGCCGAGGGGCTGAGAGGCTGAAGGCCCAGCCACCGATGGTAGGGCGTTTGGGGCGGGGTTTGTGGAGCAGACTGGTGCCAGAGGAACGGAGGGTACGGGCAGGTAGATAGGGGAATAGTAGGTTGGTGTGGTAGGAGGGAGCAAGGCGTTGAATGGCCAGGTAGGTGAGGATGAGGATCATGAATTCGATCTCTGCGGGATGGGGAGCCAGTGTAGGCGAAGGAGGGCGAGGGTAGGAGTGATGTTGTCCCGAAGCCTGGTGCGTGATAGAACACGAACTGCAGCGGGAGCCCTGGTCGCAGATGGTCAAGATGTCATTGGTGATCTTGACCAGGGCGTATATTGCATGGGTGGAGAGGAAAGAGAGCAGCTGGGAGGCGACAACTATTTCAAGGACCTGGGAAAGGACGGGTAGGTTGGAGGTGGGCCGGTAGCTTGATAGCTGCGACGTATCCAGGGAGGGTGTTTTCAAATTGTGAGTGATGATGGCAGTTTTTATGGGAATGGGAAAAGAGCAAGAGGAATGGGATAAGTTGATGATGTCAGTGATATGTGGGGCAGGGAGGTGGAGCTGAGAGATAAGTAGTGACGTGGGGAGCAGGTGGTGGATTTCAGGAACAGGATGAGTTTGGTGACAGAGGGTGGGGAAAAGGGAACGAAGGTGTGCAGTGCAGGAGGGTAGGAGTCGGAGTGTGGGAGAAAGGCGGTGAGCGGATGGCTGGAAGTTGGAGGGAGTGTGACCGCGGAGCGGATTCCCTTGATTTTCGATTCAAGGAAATCCAGCATCTCCTCGCAGTGAAGGTTGAAGAAGATGACCAGATGATCAGCAAGTGGTGGCGGGGTGGACGGAGGAGTCGGGATGTGGCAGAAAACAATAGCCTGGGGTTGTTCTTCGACTCCATGATTATCCTGGAGTAGAAGGACCACTTGGCCGAGGTTAGAGTGGAGCGGTAGATTTGGGGGAGGTACAGCCAGATTTGTCTGTGGACCGTTAGGGCAGATTTGACGCAGGTGTGTTCAGCAGCCCGCGCCTGGCTCTTCAGTGAGAAGAGGTGGGTGGTGAACCAGGGGGAGGAGCGGGAGTAGGAGGCAGTACGGGAGGTGATGGGGGCAAGAGTATCGAGTGTGGAGGAGTGGGTGATAGGTGAAGAGTGATCAGTGAGGGTTGAAGGCCAGAGGGAGTGGAGTTCAGAGGACTCAAAGGCAGCGGTTAGGGACTGAATATTAGAATATTAGAAATATTTGAATATTAGAAATATTAACAAAGAATGTACAGCACTGAAACAGGGCAATCGGATCAACAAGTCGGTACTGTTGTTTACAACAACAACATTAAGATTACACTTGCACAGAGGCTTTCACGTCGGGAGAACGTTTATAATCAACATGAGACTTTACTCCCTCACACAGCCTTCTGCTCCCCTTTCCCTTACCTTAAGGTGTGTTCCGCTTTAGCGTATCTAATAAAATTGTTAATTGAGACAGCAATTTCTATCATATCACTTTGTGAAGCAGTTCCTTCTATTTCCTATTTTTTATCGCATCGTCGCTATCTTATATTTGCGTCACGTAGTTTCAGTCTCCCTAAAAAAGAAGCACAACCTACAGGAAGGATGGATCCCCAACTATTTTCTGTATCACTCATACCGGACCTGCATCATTCGACTTCACCACCGACACGTTGTTCTCCTCAGACCATGTCCCACAACCAATAGCTTAAGCCATGATTCATTGAAAGATCGATTCCAATGTGCTCAGTATTACTCACAAACCAATTGAAGTCTGAGCGTCTCCTTCTCCTTCCTACCTTTCTGATCTGCTTCGTCCACACACGTGTACCCCACTTTCACTCAGCTAGCTTGCCTTCTGCATGCCTGTTGTTCTCTTGGGTCCACCATCGGTTGCTGTGGTTTCATCCCCAGCCATCCTAAGCTCCATAATCGTCTGCCTCAATCCGGGGGTAGGGTAGGGGGAGGCGACCAAAAGTACCGTCGAATCGGAAGGTTTTCAGGCGTGACCTGATGCCAGGGAAGGAAGGGACAAGGCGAAGGACAGAGGAAGAGAGATCCAGAAGTATCTGTTAGTCGCGGCTGAAAGCTTGGCCACCAATGGTGGATCATGGGGCATGAGGGATATGCATAAGGCTGGAGCCAATCGATCGGCAATAGGAGGTTTTGGCT